CGCGATAAAAATGTACCGTTCTATCATAATAATCGCATACGGAGAGTTGTTATTCCTCAATGTAAAATTGACGTGAATAAAGTATCGGATTTTTTGTATGTTTTCTACTATAATTCATCGTATAATTTATTTACTGCTCCCTTCACCTCTCGTGTGATATATGTGTATTTCCATAGCCCAACGGAATCTTTTCGGCTAGAGTGCGTTAGTAAACTCAGAACCCATCGACTATACAATCTACCATTCTCTTATTTTTATATAAGTTGTTTGTTAAAACAGACAACTACTTGTACCAAAAATAAAAGATCTAACTTTTCAGAAAGAAACGTTATTTAGACGTATGTCTTTAGACGCAATACTATTGGCTTACATAGTACACTGAAAAAGTTAAGAAATTGAATTGATAAAATATAAACTTCAAAAATGATAAGTAAAGCCACAAAAAACTATATACAATGCATATATTATGGATTACATACGTTTCGTTAATAATTTATTACTGTTAAAAATGGAGAAAAGAATGTTTATTAATTGATATTCGAAACCTAGTTGTTCAAGCAGGATGTTAAATTACAACTCTTATTACATATTACAGCTTAAATGTAATGGTGGACATAAAGTTAATGGAGCAATAAACACTCATAGTTGTAAGATAAATAGTATCATAATTATAATTTAATAATTATTTAAAACATATTAATTGATAATGATTATCTAATTAGGTTTATTAATTTTTTAATTCATCATAGATGTAGGAAAATTATTTATAACAAATTAAATTCCCAATAAATAATGTTACACTAAATTTCACAATTTTTTTACTTTTCAATAAAAAATTTTTTTATATAACAAAATTATCATTAAAACAGTATAACATCAGTTGTGTTTCATTAACCTGTTAACCGAGGAAATCCTTTTCTAATTACGCAACATACTCGTATAACGGGCGCGTCCTTTTCCATTAAGACGTGTATGAATGACGTATTACCATAGTAGTAGTAAAATATATGTCCCGACCGTTCCAGGGTGCAATATAAATATCGAGGACGTATTCATATGTCCTAGCCGTACCCGATATTGTTTACTTTTGACGTACTATAGTATATATACGTATATATACGTAGTATTTATACGTCCCGCTCGGTTAACAGGTTAATGACACATAAGCTTACCAATATTCTATAATTATTGAAAGATTTATTGAAAACATGGGATAAAACAGGTATCGTTTATAAGTTTTTAAGTATAAAAATGTATTGATGAACATGAGAAGGCAATACTTGATAAGTCTATACGAGGTGTGTTCAAAAAGTAACGAGAATTTTTAAATTTCGCGGGTTTGGAGAGTCCGCTTGTATAAAATTTTTTTTATTATGTTGGTATACATGCCCCTGAAGTACGATAAAATTTTCAGCAATATTCATTGCTTACTTTTTAAGTGGCAGCCGCTAACGTTAGACGTGTTTTTCGAGCTCGGCGATTTTCGTTTGTGAAAAAAAATGGATCAAAGAATTTGTATTAAATTTTGCGTAAAAAATGAAATAAAGTGTAGTAAAGTTTGTCAAATGTTAACAAAGGCATATAGTGAGTCTGCTATGAGTAAAGCAAGGATTTATGAGTGGTATAAGCGTTTCCAAGATGGCCACGAAAACGTTGAAGATGACGAACGACCCGGACGCCCAAGCACATCAACAACCGATGAAAACGTGAAAAAAGTGAAAGAAATGGTTATGAACGATCGCCGAATCACAATCAGAGAAGTCGCTAATGATGTTGGCATATCAGTTGGCTCATGCCATCAAATTTTTTCGAATGTTTTGGGTATGAAACGTGTGGCAGCAAAATTCGTTCCAAAATTGTTGAATTTCGAACAAAAACAGCGGCGAATGGAAGTTGCTCAGGAGTCGCTAAATGAAGTCAATAACGATGCAGAACTACTAAAACGTGTTATAACAGGTGACGAAACATGGGTTTACGGATATGATGTCGAAACTAAGGCTCAATCGTCCCAGTGGAGGTATTCTGCATCGCCAAGACCGAAAAAGGCTCGACAAGTGCGGTCGAATCTGAAGGTTATGCTCACCGTGTTCTTCGATTTTAATGGCATAGTGCATTATGAATTCTTGCTACAATATCAAACAATCAACAAGCAGTATTACCTACAAGTTCAACGTCGTTTGCGTGAAGCAATCCGAAAAAAACGCCCGGATTTGTGGCAAAACAATTCATGGCTTTTGCACCACGATAATGCGCCTGCTCACACTTCATTGCTTGTTCGTGAATTTTTGGCCAAAAACGAAACTGTAACGATGCCTCGGCCTCCATATTCGCCAGATATGGCTCCATGTGACTTTTTTCTATTTCCAAAAATAAAGAGAACATTAAAAGGCCGTCGTTTTACAAGCATAGATGACATTAAAAGCGAATCGCTGAAAGAGCTAAAAGCTATTACAAAGATCGAGTTTCAAAAGTGTTTCGAGGATTGGAAAAAGCGTTGGCATAAGTGTATTGTATCCGAAGGGGACTACTTTGAAGGCGACAACATTAATGTAGATGAATAAATAAATATTTTTTTCATAAAACGAAAATTCTCGTTATTTTTTGAACACACCTCGTACAAATTTAAGGTAATCCACCTCGTATAAAAATAGTCTTACATCATATATTTCAGATAAAATAATCTTATTCATAGTTTTAATTTTATTAATGTTGAAATGTTGGAGAGAGAAAGTAATAATTATTAGAAAAATATTTCTGAATATATAAAGAATACTAGTTACACGATAGACATGAGGATATTAAATACTTAAATCATCAATATATGAGTTTTAACTAATTGTTAAGAAGATAGTATACAATTTTTTGACTTAATCCATCATACTTTAATATTAAAATCTTAATTCAAATCAATATTACACTAGCGTAACAAGTTAAAAAGATTTTTGTTTCCTTTTTTAACCTCTCAATCTTGTATTTTACGCCGGAATTGTTATTGAATGGGTTTAATCCTAGTTGAGGGACGAAGATGTTTACATTACTATGTCATAGTTTTATTTGTAACGGAGAATCACGGCTCGGCCGCTGTTCTCCGTCGAGCTCTCACCAATGCCCGGGCGCCTTGCCAAGCTGAGAGTGTGCGCTGGTTGAGCACACTCTTATTAGATAATTCTTTGTTTTCGAGGTGCGACGTTGACGACGGCTTGCTGGAGGGAGCCGACGAACTAGGCAGTGAGAGAGAGAGAGAGAGAGAGAGAGAGAGAGAGAGAGAGAGAGACGGAAGATTGAAGAGAGAAGAGAAGAGAAAGATAGCCGCTGGCAGACCTGCGCGCGCATCTCGCTATAGAAAGAGAGGAGAAAAATTGGCAGTTAATCGAGAGCTGTGAAGTAGACTACCGCGCGCACAAAAGTTTTCGTCTTCACTACATTTGTTGGCTAAGTTTTCCCGCGTTCTCGCCGTGAACAAGTGGAAGGATACGTGCCCGGTGCGCGGAATAAATATTCGTTAGTGAGTGATCGAGAAGTAAAAACCGCGAGAGCAACGAAGCCGGCATCGGTGCACGTGGGTTAACCGGCGAGGCGACGCGGTTTGTGCGCGCGTGCGGACACTTTTGGTGGTGAGCAGTACACAAGAAACAGGAGCTACGACACTAACGAACATTCATCTACTCAAAAACAGTAATTGATATCACCACATACACACACTCATACGTAACAATAAATACCAGGTCAATAGATACACACAAAAATCAACAACAACACTAACAACAACAACATCAACAATAATAATTAATAACAATAACAGAGAATAACAGATAACAAAAATAATTACGTCACAATAGAATCAACAGTATAAAACAAAGGAGGAATCTAAGAGAGGAGAGTCGAAGGACGGTAGAGTATGTCAACAGTACAGAGCAGGTCGGTGTAGTGATTTCTCTCTTTCTCTCTCTCTCTGTTCAAGGTGCCGGGTGAACACTGCATAGGTAGGCAGCCTTGCCAGCTACGAGGTCGAACGAGTGACTTTGTTACGGACGAGAATTGTTTTTCTTGAGTTTTTGTACATTTTATATATTTCGCGATTATTGACGAATAAATAAACAGCGGTTCGGTGAGCAGCCCTGCAGCCGATCCACTGCGCGTTACGCGGTGCGGATGATTATGTTGTATAGCGGCGTGGTTTTTCTTTGTTTAGAGTAAGTGGCGATTCTGTACCATTAAAATTTGTTATTATATCAGAGTTTGTTGTTATGATATCGTTACCCAAAATTATTCCTGATCCGAAATTAGTTTATTCGCGTACGTTTAGTGCATTTGCTCGACGCATTTTTCAGTCATGGGAACGTCTTTTGCTTCCCGAATCTCCTCCTTTTTAATCAAACAATTTTGTACAGACAGTCGCGAGCTACCTGAACGGAAACGGCTGGATTTCTCCGTTACATATAACGATGCTAATAAGCGCATCTCAATTATATATAGACAAAGGTAGTAATACACGTGTCTGTGACTAGAGATATTAATTTTTTTACAACCGTAATTACTAATATGAACTGTTAAGATTATTGATATGTTATGATTTGAATTTTCATATGTTTTATGAATTTCTTTATATAATTGTTATTTTTATTTTTGAATAAAGATGTGAAGAGGCCGAATATTATTGCCGAATCATATGTAATTAATAATATGTTGTATTGGATGTTTTTTGTTTTCATTGCCATCTTTGAAGTTGATATTTAAGTCGTTATAAAAAATTTATTTCGAGTCATAAATTTATTTAACATGGAATATTTCATAAGTATATATGAACCATAATGGTACAATGTTTTAAAATTTTCAGGTTGAAAAAGTATAAGTGTAAAATTTAACTAAAATACCACTTTTAAACTTCAAGGTGCTTCACATCATACTTGTACGATATTATATAGTATATGAAAAAATTTTCATTTCACCATAAACTTCAAATATATTATACATTTATCGTTAATAATAAAGAATATTACCTAAAAGCACAATATTTGCAGGTATATGGACGAACGTCGGTGTGAGTTCTAATGTGTTTTTTAAGCATCGAAGGTTTCTTGCAGCGAATTCCACATTCTTCACATACATATCTACCTCGACCTATAAACAAAAGAAATTGATATAACTTAAAAATTCTTATTATCTTAATTACTGAAGTAATAAAAACTAAACATACAGATAAATATTATCTAAAATTTGGAAAAAAATTGTTCTGCAATTATTTTCGATAATTACTCTGAAAAAATTAAACAATTAGAAATCTAAATCCGGTTCCTAACCTCACCACTAATGTTATCGGTGAAAAAAAAATTGAAAGGGTTATATTTTTAGAGCTCAAGTGGCGCTCTTTCCAATGGTTCGATCAAAATTAAATAAATTATCAATTTTTTTACCATTTTTTTAAATCAACAAGTTGGAATCCGATTAATTGGGAAAAGCGTTCGCGCTTTGGGAGTTACTCATTCTAACAATTGTACCTTCGGCCTCATTGGTATCGGCTGTAATACTTCGTTACAGCATATTGAATAATACAATAAAATGATATAATATTATTCGAATAACACACACACGCGCGCACGCGCACACACACATAGAGGGACAAACAGACATAAAAAATGTGCCTTTCTCTTGTTATATAGTTAATAATTGATGATAATTAGTAAGGGTTATGATGTTCGTATCACTTATTTATTTTATAGTTCGTACTCTCGTGGTCTTGTCGCGTTAATGAGTAAGAATTCGTTTCTTTCAAATTTACTCTAATTATTAATATGAAATCAATCAACAAATAATGTACGAGGTGTGATCAAAAAGTAAGGTGTATTTTGAAATTTAGCGGGCTACGTCCGTTCGATCTTCGACTTTTTTATTTGGTTATGTCGGTACACTCCTCTAGAACATACGTTCCAAATTTCAGCTTTGTAGTATGTTTGGTTTGTTTGTGAGAGGCATCAAGGTTAGAAGTGTTTTGCGTGCTCCACGATTTGCTGCTGTCTAAAAACATGGATCAAAGAGTTTGCATTAAATTTTGTGTGAAAAATGGAATCAAATGTTCCAAAACACTTGAAATGCTGAAAGTGGCATACGGTGAGTCTACTTTAAGCCAAAAAAATGTTTACAAGTGGTATAAACTCTTCCAAGAAGGCCGAGAAGACACCGACGACGAACCTCGTTCTGGACGCCCCAGCACATCAACAACTGATGAGAATGTTGAAGAAGTGAAGAAAATAGTGTTGAGAAATCGTCGAATTACCATTAGAGAAATTGCTGATGATATTGGCATCTCATTTGGTTCGTGCCAATCAATTTTGACGAGTGTTTTAGACATGAGACGTGTGTCAGCGAAGTTTGTTCCGAAATTGCTCAATTTCGACCAAAAGAAACGTCGCATGAGCATCGCCCAAGAGCTACTGAATGACGTCAACGATGATCCAGATTTACTCAACAGGGTTATAACAGGTGACGAAACATGGGTATACGGTTATGACGTCGAGACTAAGACTCAATCGTCCCAGTGGAGTCATTCTGGATCACCAAGACCAAAAAAAGTACGCCAAGTTCGATCAAATGTAAAGGTTTTGCTTACAGTTTTCTTTGACTGCAGGGGCGTGGTGCATCATGAGTTCTTGCCACAGGGTAGAACAGTAAATAAGGAATATTACCTGCAAGTTATGCACAATTTGCGCGAAGCAATCCGCCAGAAACGTCCGAATTTGTGGAAAAATAAAAATTGGCTTTTGCACCATGATAACGCCCCTGCTCACACATCATTGCTAGTGCGCGAATTTTTGGCTAAAACCAACACAGTAACGATGCCACAGGCACCGTATTCCCCAGATCTGGCCCCTTGTGACTTCTTCTTGTTCCCAAAACTGAAGAGGCCCATGAAAGGACGGCGTTTTGCCACGATTGAGGAGATAAAGACGGCATCGAAGGATGAACTAAACAAGATCACAAAAAATGATTTTTTGAAATGCTTTGAGGATTGGAAAAAGCGTTGGCACAAGTGCATTATATCCGAGGGGGATTACTTTGAAGGAGATAAAATAAAAATTGATGAATAAATAAATATTTTTTGAGAAAAATAAAAATTCACCTTACTTTTTGATCACACCTCGTATATAAGCATGTAAGTAAAATTTTAAGGAAAAGACAGACCTTGTCCTAGTTTTTAATGGTGCGAACTGTCCTATAAGCAGAGCTAAAATCTTTATTATAAAGGATATAATTCAGCCCAAGATTCTTATAGCGCGAAGTGTTCTATAAGTCGAGCATGAATTATAAAAGGAAAGGAGAGGATTTGCTTAGTTAACCCATTAACGCCCAAAACCAGAGACTTTTAGACTGATTTTCGAGCCATACTTCCCAATCGGAAAATGAGATATACATCGAGCAAACCTACTTTACTTTATGTTTTCGGGTCCGCTCTTTCGATTTCTGACGTCAAAATTACGTTTTTTTGCATTCTAAATCTAATATGGCGGACTTTATTAGAAAAAGTTAGGCTATTTTCAAAATTTTTTTTTAACTTTTTTTTTCAATTACATAAAAAACTTCGATCTATTTCAAACTATGGACAAAGGTGGACAAAATAGCTATAGTTTATGGAAAAAAATTTTTTGGACAATGCCAAATTGTTTGTCATGACGAAAATAGCAGCTAATAGCCTAAATTTTACAAAATCAGTGGATTTTCGCATTATTTCATGTATGAACTTAAAATGGATGACTTTTTTATACTCAAACTGTCTCAGTTCTATTGCCTGACTTTTATAAGTAATTTCCAACAAAATATACGTTATGCCTAATGGCGGATTCAATATGGCGACCGGAAAACTGGAAAAATTAACCTGTTTTTTCCACATTTCCACTCATAAAAGTTCTAAATCCTAAGTTTACATAGGTTTCTCTATGATTCGCTATATCGTAAAAGAGAATACTTTCACGGATTTTAGAAATTCGAAATGGCGGATCCAATATGGCGGACGACATAATGAAAATTTTAATATAAATGTATAAAAAAAATTGCATCATATTCTAGGTTTTATTTCGATTGAAAAATGCCTTTAGCGTTTTTTTTATTAGAAGCAAACATTCTCAGGAAAAAATTCTTGAAGTTTCGGAATCACGAACTTTTTAAATTTTCTATTTTTTTGTATTTTTTATTCAAAATTTTTTTGTATTTTTTATTTTTATGTTTTTTTTTGTATGGTTATTTATATTATTATTTACATTTTTAATTTTTCATTTGCATAATTCTTTTTATCCTTACTTGTAATTTCTGAATTCTATAATCCGTACCTTATTTTCTATGGTTATCATCAAAGCATGTTTTACAGAAATATAGAGAACATGTGTTGCAAAATTTTGCGGTTCTGATGGGGCATTTTGCAGTGGACCAGTTTTTTTTTAGTTCTTTATACGAAACTTCATGCTTCTTTGATCTATGTTTCTTACCATTTTCAAGATATTGTCTGGCAATACTCATTGTAAAATCTTTAGATCCTACTTTTTTATCTTCTGATTTACAAGTGTTATACAGCACCAGTGCATTGACTATTGCAGATTGAATAAGCCTTATCAAAACTACCCATGTCCATTTTTTTGAACGTATGCATGGTAGAACATTGTTGCAATGATTATCGTGTAAATCAACACCACCCATAAATTTCTTGTAAGTATGAAAGGCACATGGAAAATGTACATCAACTCTTGCTTTCTTCTCTGCGCTATATCTTTGTAATGGTGTGACGGAGAATTTCGGCTCGCCGACTTCTCTTTCGTCTCTCTCTCGTCCGTTCGCTACGCCCGGGCTGAGAGTGTGTTGGTATGCACTCTCATGCCTGGTTTTTCTCTGTTTGAGGTGCGGCGAACGGGCGTTGGCGGAGCTGGATGCGGCCGACGAGCTGGCGATCCGTTGCCAGGATCGTCATGCGGGGGAGCGAGCGGAATGGGGAGAGCGCGGCCGAGGGGGAAAATCGGCAGTTTCGTTTGGGCTGGCCGATCGCGTGCGCGCGTTTTGTTTTCGTCGCCGTTTTGGATTTTCGGTTGGTTTTTTTTTTGAAGCGGTGCGGTGCTTCGCCACGTTTTCTTTTGTTTTGTGGATGCGCACCCGGTGTGTGGGCGCGCATCAGTGGTTCATTTTTTTTGTTGTGATTGAGGAGTGAGTGGCTGGGTCGCGCCCAGCCAAGCCTTGCCGCCCAGCACCGGTGTGCGAAGCCCGTACCGCCGGCGCGCGCGTGTTCGGCGAGCGAATCCGGCGAGCGGCTGAGCAACGGGACCAGCAGCAACCGCAGCAGCAGCAACAGTAACAGCAACAACATCAGCAGCAGCAGCAGCAGCAAGCCGCATCCGTTGACCGGGAGCGGCCATCTCCACCTGGGGTCGCCGTTGGCAAGGTCGGTGCCGGTTCTCTCTCTCTCTCTCTCTCTCTCTCGCTCTCTTGCATGTCCCGGGGTGTTCGCGGGTGCAACGGTGCAGGTCGGGCAGTGATGCCGGCCCCCGTTGCCGGGTTTTGAGTTCGCGGGCGCTTAGGCTTGAGCGGATTATCGGGCAGCGATTGCCGATAATCCGATTAAGCGGATTAGCGTTTTCTTGTATTAGGCCGATTTGCGAGACGGAGTGTGCGTGCTCCGTCTAATTATTAATTTGTGTGTCTTTCTTTATTTTTCACTTATTGTGTCGTATTAATAAATTTGTAATATTAATATATTTGTGTCATATATTATTGCGTTAACCCGTTCGTTTTCCCGATTTTCCTTTAATTCGCGCGCGATTGACACACACGCTCGGTGTGCCATTCAGTCGTGGGAGCATTCGTGCCTCCCGAGCCCTCCTTTGATAAATATTGTGCGGACGGCCGCGAGCAAATATTCTTCAGTGAATAGTCGGCTTATTTAACTCCGTTACATGGCATCCCTTGTGGGGAGGGCGCGACGCGTGCGCGAGTAGGATGATCGCGAATCGGTAGCGGTGACGGAGGATCTGCAGTGAGACCGACAATCGTTGCACCGGTAAGTGCGCGCGCAGCAGTTTTTCCGTTTCGTTTTCGTTTTTTTTTTTTTCTAGGATCGCTGGGCAGCGATCGCGTCGCGTCTGTCG